TTTTAGTAGAGACGGGGTCTCGCTCTTGCTCAGGCTGGTTTCGAACTCCTGAGCTCAAACAATCCGGCCGTCTCAGCCTCCCAGAGAGCTGGGATTACAAGCGTGAGCCACCGCGCCCGGCCTATTTATTAATTTTTAATCCTCCATAGTGATTCAGAGCTCATGGTCCCGTTGCTGGAAAAACTGTGGGAGTTTTCGGAAGGAAAGTGTCTTCCTGTGGGTGTTCTCATTGCAGTCCATCCACACTGTCATAAAACCAGGCACTGACACAAAAGGACTGATCCTGTTTACTGACTGGTCTGAACTAAAAAGTGAATTGTTCAAAATGGTGTACCTTAAATTTTTTTTTTTCTAGGACTGTTGTAAAATTGCATAAGATTTAATTGTACTATGTCACCTGAGGTTTCAGGACATAAATATCTTTAAAATAGAATCACTTAGCATACCAAAATAAAAGCGTTATGAAATTTCCAATCATAAACATGCACTAGAAAATTGGCTGTCAGAATACTTCTATGAACAATATCAGGGGCCAGGCGCAGTGGCTCACGCCTGTAATCCTAGCACTCTGAAAGGCCGAGGTGGGATGATCGCTCAAGGTCAGGAGTTCAAGACCAGTCTGAGCAAGAGTGAGACCCCGTCTCTATTAAAAAATAGAAAGAAATTATCTGGACAACTAAAAATATATAGAAAAAATGAGCCGGGCATGGTGGCACATGCCTGTAGTCCCAGTTACTTGGGAGGCTGAGGCAGGAGGATGGCTTGAGCCCAGGAGTTTGAGGTTGCTGTGAGCTAGGCTGACGCCATGGCACTCTAGCCCAGGTAACAGAGTGAGACTGTCTCAAAAAAAAAAAACAAAAACCATATTAGGAAGACCTTAATTTAGTTCTGGGTGCCAAAAAACCATGTGTGAAGATACAGTACCAGAACACTGAAATGTCAGCCTGCAAAGAATATTATGCCTGGGTTTGCAGCTAACTTTACCAAGTCACCAGTGACTCTCAGTGCTGTGCTTACCGTTTAAATCATGGTAAGGTGAACCTCCATAGGTAAGCCATATGAGCATTTTGTCCTTTCATTGTTTGGCACTGAAATATGATATTGGATTTTAGCTTCCATTCTGAAGTTTCTTCTCCAGGCGATAGATGGAATCATATGCACATGCACTGTGAGGAGGATGGCGTGAGGGGCTCACAGCAGCTCACCTTGGGGTCCTCAGGTGGAACTGCAAGAGTAACAAGTTAGGCTCTAATCTGACACATTCTCAGAAGTTGTAGTTGACCTTTGAACAACGTGGGGGTTAGGGGCACTGACCTCCCCACGCAATTGAAATCTGCATATAACTTTTGATTTCCTAAAAACTTTACTAATAGCTTAATGTTGACCGGAAGCCTTACTGGTAACATAAACAGTTGATTAACACATATTTTGTGTGTTATGTATATTATATACTGTATTCTTAGAATAAAGCTAAAGAGAAAATGTTATTAAGAAAGTCATTGTTTTTCATTCATGTTAAAATTATATGTGTATGTACATATATGATACCAACTTTTGAAGTAGTAGGAACTCTAACCACTAAGCTTGATCTAAAGTTTATTTTGAGGACCTCAGGTATACAAGAATGGAACAGTGACAGGAGTGAGGGCTTTGACTTTAGACAAATGGTGGGCTTATGGTCTATCTTTGTCAATTATTGAATTATATGAACAAAGTACTAAACCTATGTCTTCATCCATAAAATAGGGATCAGACACCAGTACTACAGGTGATATGAGGGTCCTGGTCAGTAGTTAATCATGTGACTTTTCTTAAAAGGCTTGAATACTTTTCTTTAAAAGTTCAGGCCGGGCGTGGTGGCTCACGCCTGTAATCCTAGCTCTCTGGGAGGCCGAGGCGGGTGGATTGTTTGAGCTCAGGAGTTCGAAACCAGCCTGAGCAAGAGCGAGACCCCGTCTCTACTAAAAATAGAAAGAAATTAATTGGACAACTAAAAATATATATAGAAAAAACTAGCGGGGCATGGTGGCGCATGCCTGTAGTCCCAGCTACTCGGGAGGCTGAGGCAGGAGGATCGCTTGAGCCCAGGAGTTTGAGGTTGCTGTGAGCTAGGATGATGCCACGGCACTCACTCTAGCCTGGGCAACAGAGTGAGACTCTGTCTCAAAAAAAAAAAAAAAAAAAGTTTAGGTCTACTTGCAAGTCTATAAAGTGCAAATTTTTTTTCATCCTGAGAGATCTCTATTTCTCCCCTTTCCAGTTACTAGTGGCATTCTTCCCAAACTGTTAGTATCTATATGCTATAGAAAGATGCTTAAATGCTTTGATCAGATTGTATGAGAGAAATCTAAAAACTCAGGAAGCAATTCTTAAGAATAAAACTGACCCTCTAATACCTTAATTAGCTTTGAATTCAGTCTTTTAAATTGTTTGCACCTTGAGAATCTGTGAAATGAATACATTGAACAATTAACTCTTGTCCCAAGGATGCAAAGTAAGAGTAAACACTGGCACGTAGAGATGGGGAAAGGACTATTATGTTCACCATGAAGAGTTTTTCAGGATGCAGCACAAAGCAAGTCTAAAAGACTGAGACACTACACAGATTATTATCTTTTAACTCAACCAATCATATATCAAATAAGGGAAAGTATGTAAGTTTTGCCTTTGAAACCTGAGACACCAAAGAGCCTTAAATCACAAATAATCTACTGTGGCTATGGACAGGGTAGTCAAATTTATTTCAAAACAAAAGCTTTGTTGGGCTGCATCAAATGCAGGAAAAAAAGGAATACTTAGGGGCATGGCTAAATTACCAGTGTGCATAACAGTGAGGTATGCCTCAAATAAGCCTTTAAAACTTTATAAACTGAACTATAACATACCCATGCAGTAATATTTTTTCAGTGCTACTAATGAAAAAAAATTAAAGTCTGCATTGGAAATTTACAATATGGCAGAATTTTGTTGCTCCTACCTTTTGACCCTAATGTACAGATTTTATGACAGGGTCTGTGTTAAAAATCTAAACATTTTCACAAGATTTTAAACATCACTGGGAAGCTAAATTTAGAGGAAACAAAAATCAGATAAAAGTACAATGCCCGTGACAGCCAGCATTATGTAATTAGGCTGTATGAGGTTGTTTAGAAGGCTAGGGTTAAAAAGATAGACAAAAAGATTTTTAAAAATTACCCCCAAAGTCGATGTGCTGATTTGAACATAAGTACACCAGATACTACAGCAGGGGGCACACTGCAAAAAGGTCATCTATTTACAGAAGAGTGACTTAAAGACATTATGGTTTTCTTTACAGACAGATGTAAGAACAGGAAATGTCCACTTTTTAAAAACTCTACATTTCAATCCTCCACTATTGTTAATATTATAATCCACTGAATTGCCTGTATCAAAGGCAGTTTTTTGTTTTTTCCCATTTGACTCTCCAAATGCATTTCCATCATTTCTTCATCATTTGTGGCCCTGGCTCTCCTGAAAAGTCTTTGGGCACAAGTCATAGGAGGGCAGGCTTTTGACCTGCAATTAAAAATAAAATCACCAAAAACTAGAGATCCCTCCACTGCACCCTGTCCCCACCCCTTCTCTGTGCAGTTCAGTCATCGCTATCCGACAGTGTCTCGTACTGTGCCGAGAGCAGCGGGGCGGGCTCTCGCTCCCAGATCCTGTTCTGTTGGTGAGCTGCTTGGTTCACAGCAGAGGGGGCACATGCAATCGGTGTTGGTGGCGTACTGCTGAGCATCCGCATAGTCAGAGGATTGTAAGGAAACTGAGTTGAGCCTGATGAAAGAAAAATTAAGTTTTCATTGTCATGAGCATAGTTGCTGTTTCATCTAATACAACTTTTGTGGGATGGAGTAGGACAGGATTATTCTACTAAAGCAGTCATGTGACAATATGAAAGCAAAATGAATACACTATGAAGGGCTGGGTTCGCTACTTAGATTCTAGCCAGTGACAAAGCGGCACTGAGTGGGAGTCTAAAAAGGAAGAATAACATGAGTAAACACACGGTGAAGGCTGCTGAGCCTACAAGAGAAAGCCCGAGGATGGATTTTTAGTTGTCTATAATCATCAGGTGCTTCCATGGAGAATCCAAGTGGAACTACCGAGTATTAAGCTCTAATTGAAAGAGCCTGATTACACCAAGCATTTTCTTGACTCTTTAAGGGAAACACAGGAGTATAACTATCAGTCAGGGAACAAGTACCCAGGAACTTCCGCAGGCCAAGGGGCAGCAGGATGCATGTCATCTGCTGAATTTCACTGGGCAGATTTGAAAGTCTGTAAGACTGAGAAGTGGCTGGGGTGCATTAACAAGAGCACTGCTATACCCCTTGTCAATTTCAGGGTTAGCTGTACCCAGAAAGCCTCCTTCAACTTAAACCCTAAAAACATAAAACAT